TTCTATGTTGTGACCTTAAGAGTTTTTTTATCCAAGATAGGAAATAAAAATCTACAACCACAAACACTGCTTCCTTCTGTCCACCCCCAACAGTGTCTTATGCTTTGCACAATGGGCAGCTGCCCAAGCCTGGGGTATGTGGGGTGGGGGCGGGAGGAGGACATGGAGAGTTGAGGAGGCGACAGAGACCGAGGCCCTGGAAGTGACCCAGCCACCTTGCGGCATCCAGTGCCAGTGGGACCCTCTGCCCTTGGAGCAGGCCCTCGGAGACAGTGGCCCACTCCTCCATTTGACAGATGGGAAACCTTTCCCCTGGGGTGCCCTGAGGGGCAGTGCTGGCTGGAGGCCAAAGGCCAGGATACTGAGCTATTTCCCTTCCCAGGCCTCCTGTGGCTAAGGACTCCCCAAACACAAAAGGCAGGGATGGGATGGGTAGCAAGATCCCTGTAGAGCGTGTGGCCTAGACCACACTCAGCCTTTACCCTCCTTCACTCTTCACTGTGCACTAGCCACTATGACCTTCCTGCAGTTCTCTGCTAAGCTCATTCCTGCCTCAGGGCCTTTGCACTTGTTCCCTCTGCCTGCAAGAATTTCCCAGGGCTCCTTTCCCCTCTCATGTAGGCCTCATATGTCACCCCAAACACCTTCCAAGATGACTCTGCTAATGTCCCAGCCCCTCTGCTTTACCGTTTTATTTTTTACGGAACCTTATCTCTAGTTGAACCTATTTGCATACGTGTTTATTTTCTATTTCCCATCCCCCAGTGACAATGTAATTAAGCTCTTTGATGGCAGAGATCTTGCTGTCTTGTTCATTCTCGTATTTCCAGGACTACAATAGTGCCTGGCAAGTAATAATGATTACGGCTACTAGTTACTTAGAGTTCTGAGGCACGGCTCTGAGTGCTTTCCAGGTATTAGCTCATAATCCGCATTAGGAGTGGTAAGGAGGATCTTGTGATTGCACCTTTTTCAACGAGGCAAGCCTGTAGGTGGACGCTGGCCCAGGGCCAGCCGGTATAGACCATGACAGAGGCCTTGCTCAGCACGTGGCATCTCAGTGTTTGAGAGCCCCACACAGAGGGAGTGGGAATGAGACTGAGGTCCAGCTCCACTGCTGTGGGGCCCTGCGAGGCCTTGGTCAGCCCCGGGGCTGGGCTCTACCCCTGCTGCGGTGGGCGACGGGGTGCTCCTGGTTCAGCGCCAAGCCCTCTGCTGCCCGCACCTAGAGGCTGGAGCTGCTCAGCTATCCCCACTGCACGCCTGTTTTGACTCCTAGGATGAGGCTGCAGGTCCTGGAGATCAGAAACAGGCCTTGTTTCTCTACAACTATTCATGAGCACCCACCACAGGCTAGACATCGTTCTGGGTGCTGAGCATTCAGTGGTGAGGAAAATAGACAAAAATCTCTGCTCTCATTCTGGCAAGGGAGGCCGCCAATAAGGCATCTAACGTGACATGGCAGTGGGCATGCTGAGTGCTGGGGCGGGGGTGGATTTGCCCATTTATGATGGGTGTTTAGGGAGGCCCTCTCTGGGAGGTGAGGGAGTGAGTAAGCCCGCAGTGCCTGTGGCGGGGGCCGGCACACGTGGTCCAGGGCCTTGTCACCATGATGGAACTTGAGAGTCTCCATGTGACTTGGGGAGTCTCCTGAGTAGGAGTGATACAGGGGTTGCTATTTGAAGAGGGCTCTTCAGACAGCCCGTGAATGGCGGGGGGCGGGGGGTGGGGCAGGAAAAGAGGACCAGGCTGGGGTCAGCCCAGGTGAGCGAGGAGAGCTGGTCAGGGCCTGGATAGATCCTCAAGGTCAAGCAAGTCAGGCTCCGATGGCGGATGTGTGAGAGGGGACAGAATGGTGGCTGAGCAACCGGAAGGATGGAGTTTCCAGTTCTTGAGATGGAGAAAATCAGGTGAGGAGCAGGGACTCCTCATTTCAACTCTTGGATGCTGGCCGAGGGTGTGTCCGATCTTGGCAAATCTCTTCGGCAAGCAGGTGGGGACGGAGGGCGCAGCGGACTTTGAGCCCAGAGACCAGGAGAAGGTCCAGCTGGAGACACAAAGCCCCCGTAGTGGCACCTGAGTGCTGGCACACCTGTGCCGGGCACCACGTGCTGAGGGGAAGGCAGCTCAGGGTCCAGTGGGAGGGCAGCAGGTAGATGCTCACACCAAGTAGAAAGTGACAGCTCCGGGAGTCAGGACTGTGAAGCTGGGTGACCCCAGTGGAGGGAGCAGGGACTCTTGGGTGCGAGGTCACAGCAGGCTGCCTGGAGGAAAGGGTGCCTCTTCTGGGCTTCAAAGGATTCGGAAGCTGTGAATGTAGAGAATGGGGAGGCATCCTCAAGAAAGCTGGCCCAGAAAACTCACGAAGGGGCACGTGCTGCGAGCGCCACAGTCCCACCTACCTGTCCAAGAGGGCTCCCCGCCCCAGCTCTGCGACTGGAAGTCACCTGATGGGGACCCACCCAGCTCCTGCAGGAACTCAAGCCTCTGTCCACACAAACCCTGCGCAGGCCCGGCGGGCGGGCCTGTGGTTGTGCCCTAGCCAGGTCCCACGGGCAGGCCTGCCCCACTCTTGCCCCGCCCCCTGGCCGACCCGTCCAGTCGCAAAGGACCCGGAAGTGGGGATACCGCCAACAGCACCCCCCCCCCGCCGCTGGGAAGTCACAGGGAGCCTTGGCTGGGCGCCCCCATCGGTCACCACGTGCGTTCCTCCAGCTTTGCTCATGGGGGTCCACGTCAGCCAGCTGCCCCAAACCACAGGGGACGCAAATGCTTCCAGGCGCTTCGTGTCACTTGCGATGTCTCAACTGAGGAGGGCCATCTCCTCCTGGGTCTTTTTAGACCCGGCATGAGGGTGGCAACTCAGTGTCCTCTTATTTGAGCCCCGTCCTTTCCTTTCCCAGCTGGTCTGTCAGTCACCAGGCCTTGGAGCAACCCCCATCTTTGACTTTTGCACAACGCCTCCCCTAATGGTGGCACATCCTCCATCCTCCGGGGCCTCTCCTAGGCCCTCTGGCCACCTTCTAAGCCCTTGCACCAGAACTGTCCAGGGTGACTGTTTTTTCTTTTTTTTAAGATTTTATTTGTTTGAGAGAGAGACAGAGAGTGAGCACAAGCGGGGGGGGGGGGGGGGGCGGGGGAAGGGATAGGGAGCAGCACACTCCCCACTGAGCAGGGAGCCTGATCCCGGGACCCTGAGATCACGACCTGAGCCGAAGCCAGACCCTTAAGCGACTGAGCCGCCCAGGCGCCTCTGTCCAGGGTGACTGTTACAAGACTGTTACAAGGTCCCAGAGTCTACCCCGACCTACTGGACCAGAATCTCAGAAGTGAGCACTAACTTTGGTCACTCAAGGGGAGCACAGACACCCACGTCACCGGTGCTATGTGGCACAAACGGAACGTACCCACCAGCAGAGAAGTGGCAGAACCTGCTCCCACACCTGCCAACTCCCTGCCCCGGAGCTGGGCCTGTCACTCTACACCTGGGAAGGGACACCCGTAGGTGATCAGGGCACAGTGGGCGTGTCCTTGTCGGAAAGGGGCCTGGAGCTCAAGGGCCGGTGAGGTGAGCAAGAGGGCGCCCGCACAGCGGAGCCAGCTTCTTGCTGAGCGGCTGAGATGAAGGGAAGGAGTCTCCCGGGATATCCAAGTTTGCCTCTCTCCCCTCATGGGGTTATGAAAGCTCAGCAGGCAGGAGCGAGAATGTGAGAGATACCAGCCTTTCCCTTCTTTGGAACAAGCCCATGCGAGGAAGGTGGGTCCATAAGGGTTTGGAGTCACAGCTCCCTCCTCTCCTGCCCCCTTGGCCTCCTGGAGGGATGGTCTGCTTCCTGCTGCTGCTGCTGGGACGGAGGCCACCTGCAGACAGGACGGGCTCCACCTCGGCCTCGGCCAGGTCCGCGGTCCCCTGCTGTCCCCACTTAGGATGCAAAGCTAGTTAACCACCAGGAGCAGACCCCCTGGGGCAGTGTGGGGGGCGCGGCACCCTCTCCCCTCTGGCCAGAAGGACCCACTGTGGGGTTGGCAGACTGTGGCCCCCCAGCCGGCCCAGCCACAGGAGGGCCCCTCTGCAAATCCTCTGCCAGACGATGCCGTGACCTAAGGAGCCCGGGACACCGGGGAGCAGAGAGTTGGATGGAGCTGCCCAAAGGCAAGCAGGGCCCTCTTCTGCACGGGGAAGGGGCTCCTAGACTTCCAGAACTTGTCTCCTTCACAGTGAAGACCCATCCGGTCAGCACATCCACTCAGGCACTCGCTCTCCACGTACCCGTCCCTGGCACATGCCTGCTGGGAAGGCACCAGCCCGCCCTCTCCCGGTGGGGCAGCCCAACCCCAGCCCCGGCTTCCTGCCTGGGCACACACCTGAGCCTGACGCAGTTTCTTGAGGTCACCTCCTGAGCTGCCCCCCTCCCCACAAGAGCACAAACCTTGGGTGCCAGGGCAGCCACACCCCCGCTTCCCGAACCCTGAGTCGGCTGCCCCGGAAGCCCCCAGCCGCAGTGGATACTACTCTGCCTCAAGGGCTGCCTAGTCAGCTGTGGCTGCCACCCCCAGGGGAGGAGGGCTCCTCTCAGCCCATCAGCAGATGCTGGGTGCTCTCCGGGGGCCAGCTGCACCGGGGCTGGACGGGAGGACTTCTGACCCGGAGCCCTAAGAAGCACGGGGGATAGCGAAAGGCCCTTGGTGCCAGAGGAGATGGGAGACACCCCATAAAGCAGATCGGAAGCACACTCTGCTCTTGGGTCCACGTTTATTAGAACCTGAAGCCGGCCCAGCAGCCTTCCCTCCTAGAGGTGTGGCCCCGAGGGCCTAGGAACTGGCCGCTCTGGAGCGAACAGCCCAGAGGCCCTACTTGGGCCAAAGCAAACAAAGCAGTCAGAAATGTTTTCTAGCAGGTAGATGGTTCCTCCCGAGCCTGCAGATGTCAGCTCTGGTCTGAGTGCGTATCCTCCCCCAGGGCGTCCGGCTCCCCAGCTCCATGCTAGCCACCCTGCTCCAGCCATGGGGCCAGCAGAGGCTGTTGAGGTCAGAGGAGGAGACTGCACCTGAGTGCCTTTCCCACTGTGTCCTCCTGGAGCCTAGCTGCCGAAGTATTCCTGCTGGAACTTCTGGAAGTCTTCCTCGGTGAACACGGTGCCCTCAGCCTTCTTCTTCTTCTTCGTCTTGGCTACAGGCCGGTCACAGGCCTTGCGGCCCCGGTTCTGACGCACAATCTGGGGATGGGGGGGCGTGTCAGGATCCCTGGGTGGTTTCTCTCGGCACATGAGGGACCCCCCCCTTGGAGCTGTACAACCTAGCAGAGCTGAGTGCTACCTTCTCACCCGGCCCTCACGCTGTTCCAGGAGGCAGGGTATACCACTTCCACTTACAGAGGAACAAACCAAGGCCCACAAGGGTCACAGGGGAGTAAGGCCAGGCCCAGCCTCCCAACAGCCCTGCTCTGCTCTTTGCCATCTAGAGGGGTGGCCCAACCTCTGCTCTGTGCTTAGGGCAGAGACTCCCATGGGTCCCAGAAACAGCCCTGGCTCTCCTCACCCTGGTTCTGCCCCACAGCCCACTCCTCTGACAAACCTGCTGGGTGACGGACTCCGCCACGGTGCTTCTCGCACTGGTCATGAACTTCAGGTTTACTCCAAGGTAGCCTCGACACTCTCGCTTCTGGAACTCAACTGCGGATGGCAGGCAGGGAGGCAGCATTTCAGATGTACTCCCTGGAAGCCGCTGGGTCCCCTTCCGACAGCTCTTCCCCGTCCCCCCACCAGCCATGCCAAAGGCCCTGTGTCCCCTCCCTAGGTTAACTCCAGCACCCCGGGCTCTTTTCTGTCCAATCCACTTTCCATTCGATCCTACTGAAAGCATCCCCCACCCCTGCCCCCGGCTCCCTGATGCTCGAGGGGCTTATGCAACAAACAAGTCCTGAGCATTTACTGTGTGGCAGACACTGTTCTGGGTGCAAGGCATACAGCAGAAAACAGAGCAAAAACTCCTGCACTCATGCAGCTTACATTCCAGAGCAAAGAAACACGGTAAACAAGGTAAATAGCATTTTAGAGACTGATAACATTTTATGAAGAAAAACACCACTGTAAAAAGAAATGAGGAATGCCAGAGGTGGAGAGTTGCAATTCTAAACAGGAGGGTCTGAGCAGGCCTCAGTGAAATGAGGTTTTAGCAAACACTCAAGGGAGAGAGTGTAGATATCGGGGGAAAGAGCATTCTAAGCCAGTGCAAAGAACCTGAAGAAGTGCGATTAATGTGTTCGGAGAACAGAAAATGGCTAGAACGGGGAGGGGAGAGCAGTAGGGGCAGACCATGTGGGGCCTCATCGGGTAGCAAGTCTGATGGAAGCCACTGGAGGGTGTGGGGCCGGGAGAGACAGGTCCCACTTACTGCTTCACGGGGTCACTCTGGCCGCCTCGTTGAGAACAAGATTACCGGGTGGGGGAGTGGAGATTAAGAGGCTTCTGAAATAATCCAAGCAAGAGGTGATGCGGCTCACACCGAGGTGGCCCCCGAGTCCCCCATCATCCGTTAGGTAGCGTGACAGGGAATGGGGACAAGGGCTGGGACACAGGTGACCCCTGGCACCCTATGCTCCTGTTTCACACCAACATCACTGTTGCTCACGCCGTTTCCTGCTTGGAATTCATAGTTCTTTCAACAAATATCTGAACACCTTTTATGTACCAGGCTCCGGGGGTTCAAAGACACACTAGGAGCTCACCAAGCCCTGCCACATGTCAAAAGACCCCACCATCCAGCCCACATCTGTCCCTCCTCAAGTCTGTCTGACCCGTTACATGGCATCCTATCTCCCAAGATGCTCTACTAGAAACTGGGCTCTGTCCTCGGTGTCTCCCTCTTCCTCCACCCTTGCAGCCAATGCTCCCTCTCCCCCCCGCCCCCCCCCATATCCTTGCACCATCGTGGCTGCCCAAGGCGACAGTGCCTCCCACCCGAACGGAGTAGGTGAGAACAAATCTCTCTGCAGACACACTGCCTGGTTTCCACCTGTGCCATCTGGGCCGGTGCCCGTTTCTGCATCTGACAAATGGGGGTCGTGTGGGGACCAAACGAGGGAATATTTATTTATACAGGCTTTAGAACAGCACCAGGCACGCAGAACATTCACGGCTTGTTAAGCGCTCCATCTCTGACTCCTGTCCGCTCTGTCACCTTGTCCAGGCATCTTTCTGGCCAATTCTTAAAGCAACGAACTTTTTCCTAACTCTGTGTGAGCTATTTCCTCCAGATTGCTCTTCCCCTGGCTCACTCTTACACTTCCTTCAGGTACGGACTTAAATGTCGCTTCCGCAGAGCAGTCCGATTTGGCTTTTTATTCTAAGGCCCTCCAGAGCACTCCAGTCTTACTCCACAGGCCTCATCACACTTAGCAATTACTCTCTGCCTCCGACATTCTTTGGTGCCTCTCTCCCCACTAGGGCAGTAGCCCATGAGGACCGGGACGACGTGTCTCGTCCAGCTCCGTACTCCCAGGACCCGGCTCCGCGCCTGGCGCACACCAGCTATTCCAGAAATGCCCGGCCACCCTTTCAAGCTCGGCCTCCAGCGCCCCCTCCTCCAGGGTGCCGCCCCCTTCCCGAGCTCACCGAGCGCGGACTTGGGCACCTTTCCCTTGGCCGAGTTCCGCAGTTTCTGGGCTTGGGTCGCCTTCGCCTTCCGGGTCCGCTTCGCCGAGGCCCCGTTCGGCTTGGCCTGGCCTGGCGCGGCCCGGGGGGCTGCAGGGGAAGAGAGAGAGAGGGACCGAGCACGATCAGAAGGCGCGCAGGGTTTCCATCCCACCAGGGCCAAGCCTGGCTTGGATCCCCCCGTACCCTCTGGGCTCCCGCCCGCAGCCCCTGCCGTCCCTCCGCCCGCGCTGAGCGGCCCCTGCCAGGCCCTTCTCACCCTCCGGCGCCCCCAGCAGCTCCAGGCCCCGCCGCAGCAAGGCTGCCGACATGGCTGCGCTTAGCTCCGCCTACACACCACGCTACTTCCGCCTTGGCCGCCTTGGTCCTCTCGGCAGAAACCCGAGCGGGAACAGAAGGTTCCGGAGTGAGCGGGCGGAAGTGCCCGCCTGCCTTAGGACGCATGCGTTTGGGGTCGCCACTTGACTACGGAGGGGAAATAGGGGCGGGAACTGGAGGCGGGGCCAACCTGCAGAAGGACACATTTGTTGCCCAATCCTAAGAAGGCCACGCTTCTTCCAGAAGCCGTCCGTAACCAGACCTGGCTGGTTGGTCAACTTTCCCGAGTCCGGAAGCTCGTTAGTGAGCGAGGAGGGGGGCGGAGCGGAGTGTTCGTATTATCAATTTTTTCGACAAAGGGAAGTGTGCCGCTGGGTTCTTTTTCAGAACATACCTCAACCAAAGCAACGTATCGCACACGTGGAGTATGGCATGAGAATCCAGCTTGTCTTCCATTATGTCAGACATGAAAGACATTTGCAAAAAAAATGCAAAACCGTGTCAGTGTTTTCCCGCTATTTTGTTTTGCTTTGGAAAATACAACCATTTTCATTAGAAATATTTGTTCAACATAGAGCAGACAAAAAGCATGTCTGACGTCACTGGGTCACAGGTCCCCCACGGCCCTTTATTTATAACATATAGTGGGGTTGCTATTGTTTTTTAAAAAAATGAATTAATGTATTAACTTACTAAATTTTAAAAATTAAAAATTTCTCAGTTTTAGTTTCTAATATGGTAAATATCTAGGTATTTACACATGGTAAAGCTCTGGGATCCTGAACTATTTTTAAGAGTGTGAGGAATTTCTTGGACCAAAAGTTTGAGAACTTCTGGCCCAGAAATTACTCTTCTTTTTTTTTTTTTTAAGGATTTTTAAAAATGTATTTATTTGACAGAGAGATACAAGCACAAATAGAGAGTCAGGCAGAGGGAGAAGCAGGCTCTCTGCTGAGCGGGGAGCCTGATGCTGGACTTGATCCTAGGACCCTGGGATCATGACCCAAGCAGAAGGCAGCCCTTTAACTGATTGAGCCACCCAGGTGCCCCTAGAAATTACTCTTCTTGCAGTGGGGAAGAATCCTGCCTTATTCACAGCTCCATCTGCAGCTCTTAGCCCAGTATCTGGCATGCAGAAGGAACTCAATAGATGAGTGGTGAATGATGAGGAATATGATTTGAGAGCATTTTGTATGCCCTATGCTGTTGAGGTGGGGCATGGAGATGACTCAGCTGGACATTCCTGGATGGACCTCACTGTCGCTCTATGAGCTAGTCCTGGGGGGAAAGAACACCTAAATACACGTTAATAATAGCAAACTCTATGTTAAGGTACTGTTTACATTTGTTAACTCATTTACCTCCCACCACCCATAACTCTGAGGTAGGAGCAACTGTTTCCCCCATTTTACAGATGAGGGAACAGTGGCACAGAGCCAAGGAACCTGTCCAGGTCACACACGTTGGTGTCTGTGCTGGGAATCAAGACACAGAGCTGAGTGTGTATGTGTATGTGTGTGTGTGTGCTGCGTCTTGCACCAGCCTCCCAGGAGAATAGTGCTGTGGTGCTGGGTGAGGCCTGATAAGCCCACGGAATCAAGAGATCTCTGGAGAAGAGGAGCTGCTCATGTGGGAGGGGAGAGTCCCAGGAAGGAGGACCCCTTAGTGAAGGCACATTCCCTGGGACAGGAGTGGCCCCAGAGGGGTGACCAGGGAAGGGTGGGGTTTTTTTTTTGATTTTTTAAAAAATATTTTATTTATTTGAAAGAGCTAGAGAGAGAGAGAGCAAGAGTGAGGTGAGGGGCAGAGGGAGAAGCAGACTCCCCGCTGAGCAGGGAGCCGGGGTTCATGACCTGTGCTGAAGGCAGAGCTTAACCAACTGAGCACCCAGGCACTCCAGGGAAAGATGTTCTAATTTGCATTCAACTCTATGAATTTGCCTAAAGGACTGTGGGGGGTCATGGAACACAGTTACATTGTCAGACACGCTCTTTTTATCTGCTTCTAAAATAGCCAGATTATTTTCTTATTATGTTTATCTTTTATTGTCTTTCGCCCCACCCCACACCCCACTGTATGCTCCATAAGGGCAGGAATCTTTGTTTTGTTCATGGTTCTATCTCTAGCTCCTGGAACATATAGTAAGCACTCCATAAATGTACGGGTCAGACGGATGAAGTTTGAGTTTGGGACGCCTGTGGGAGGCTAGGTAGGTAGAGACGTGCAGGTGATTGTGGGATGTGTGAGTCTGTCTCTCAAGAGGGCAAAGGACCAAGCTCTATCGTATTCCCTTCCTCCTCCCCATCTGGGATGGTCAGCACACGGTCCCCAGGGTGGAGGAGTTCTTTGTATTCCAATGTCCCGGCGAACAGGGACGCCAGTCATGGATTCCTGCAGCGTCCTTGGCTCAACCCGTTGCTCAGCGGACTCTGGAGGGGTCCGGCTGCCTCTTCGGCCACTAGGTGGCGCCACAGGACAGCTTTCTTGCACAGCGCGCCTCCGCGATCCTGGTTGGGGTTTCGGGGTAGGAGTGTGGGGTTGGGGTACCCTTCGGCCTCAGCTGGCTCTTTGCAGCCAGCGCCGCGTGGCCCCGGCTTCCTGTCGCCTCTGCCTTGCGGCCTTCTGAGACCGGGCTAGACACCCCTCCTGGGCCTGCTGAGGTCAAGCCACCAGGCCGGGCTGGGCAGGGGCGGGGTGGGGGGTGGGGTGGCGGAGGAGGAGGCCCCCCTCTGAAAAGGGGTGTAAATGGCAGCAGGTGGGCACTCACTGTGGGGAAGTCTCCAGTGACCCTAGGCAGTCCCTTAACAGAGAGTGCCTCAGTTTCCTCATCTGTTAAATGGGGTTTGGCTCCCTAATTCGGTGGGAGTGAGGAGCTGGTAAATTAATACTGGTGAAGCATCTAGAACAGGGACTGGAGGGTAAGCACCCAGCGACTGTTTGGGGTAGATTATTACAGAGGTGCACTCCCATTCTGGGCAGGACGGAGGCGCCCAGGAGGTTGCCGCCTTCCTATCCCCTGTCAGCCATTTACCTCATCCCTGTCTCCTTCCTGACCTTTCTGGAACAGCTTAACCTCACCAGGCCTCAGAGGGACCAAAGGCTCAGAGGGAGGTGAGGTGTTCTAACGTCACACAGTATTTCAAGAGCAGAGGCAGGACTAGAACCCAGGTCTTGGAATCCTGAGCAGGAGTGTGTGAGTACGTATGAGGGTGTGTGTGTGAGTACGTATGAGGGGGTGTGTGCGCGCGCGTGCGTATGTGTGTGCAAGTGTGAGTGTGCGTGCTGGGGGGGGGGCACCTGGCATCCTGTGCTTTGCTTTTGCTTCTCTCTCTCCATCTTTCTTCTGTCTCTGTGTATCTCTGTCTCCTTGTCCTTGAGTCTGTCCCTCAGTCCTCTCTCCATCTCTGCCTCGGTTACCGCACCCACCCCCAACCCCAAAGCTCCTGGCCTCTCTCCACCTTCAAATTGAAAACCCAAATTGGAATTTCCAATTGCCTTTCCGAGTGGGGATTGCCAGCCTCCACGTGTCCAGCCCTCCCTCGTCTGTGCCGGCCTTGAGTTGGCCCTGAGTCGGCCCTGAGTTACTGCGGCGTCCCTCCCTCTCGCCTCCGCACCTGACTCCTGCGCCCTGTGGCTTTGAAGTGTGTTTACCTGAGGGCTCCAGAAGGAATCCATTTCTGCCCCGTCTGGTTCTCAGCTGATGTGCGTGTGTGTGTGTTGGGGGGGGGCTCCTTTCAGGCTCTGGTCTCCCCTGTCTCTCTCGGGGTCTTTTGGGCTTTCTTTTCTTTTTTTTTTAAAGATTTTATTTGTTTATTTGAGAGAGAGAATGAGATAGAGCATGAGAGGGGGGAGGGTCAGAGGGAGAAGCAGACTCCCCGCGGAGCAGGGAGCCCGATGCGGGACTCGATTCCGGGACTCCAGGATCATGACCTGAGCCGAAGGCTGTCGCTTAACCAACTGAGCCACTCAGGCGCCCTTGGGCTTTCTTTTCTAAAAGGTGATGGCTTGTGTCTCATGCCTCATTCCCTCCTGACCACGCTGTCACCAGGCAGTCACTACTCGGTTTCCCAGATCAAGGACAGAGCTGGGGGAGGGAGTGCCCCAGGGGTCCAAGGCTGACACAGATGCTCTAGGTTCCACAGACTGGGCTCACAAGGCTGTGTGCCTGCGAGCAAGCCACCCTCCTCCTCTGGGCCTGTTTCCTCCTCTGCCAGTTGGGCTTTGAGAAGTATTGTCCAGCCTTCCTCCCAGGGCTGAGGGCGGGACGGGGCCAGAGCTTCCTCATTCCTGGGTCCTGAGGTCTGGGGGGACCTTGGGTTCTGGAACAGGGCTGTGCAGGTTCGAATTATGGCTTTGCCACTCGCTAGCTGTGTGACCTTGGGTAAGGCACACAACCTCTCTGTGTTTCGGATTCCTCACCTGTGAGTTGACTATAATAATAGTCCCTATCTCCTATGGACGGTTGCTGTGAGGACTGAGTGCAAAGAGCTTAGAAAGGAAAACTGGGCACAGAGTAAGTGCCGTATGTTTGTAAATGAACGATGACCATTGGTGCCAGACTGTGTTTGGGGGACCTGTGCCCACGTCTGTGGGGATGACCTGCGCAGGTATGTAGCCACTGGACCTCCGTGCTCTTGTGAGCAGCACATGGGGAGCCTGGGGGCTACAGAGAGTAATGCTCAGGAGCCTGGAGTCTGGCAGGTGTACGTTCACATGCAGCCTTTGCCACTTCTCAGCGTGTGGCCTGGGGAGGATACGTCACCTCTCTGAGCTTTGTGGAGGTTTTGGGGTCTGGTGGTGTCCCCCTCCAGGTCTGTTGGAGGGTGTGGTGAGAGGCTGTATGGAAAGCTCAGCACCTGTCCAGACACTTAATTATCTGCTCACTCAACAAACAGATGCTGAACATCCCCCCCAGGCAGCGCGCAGGGAGGGGGTTCCAGGTTAAGGAGGGGCTGGGTGAGGCTCATGCATTAGTGTTACACTCTAAGCAAATGCCCCTTGAGGGTCTGTGTTTATGACCCCAGGGTTTTCAGGGCCT